ATTATATCAAAAGATGACGAGTGAGATGTTTTGAAGATCAAACCTAACTGGAAAGCAAGAAGCCGGAAGTGAGTTGGCAAAAGAAACTGTTAGCATAGAACTTCCGGTTATTTCGACTTTAAAATTGATGTGATCTTTCCGCCGATTTACTACTGCGCTTAAATTCATAGAGTATAGGTACCTCCGGGGAGAATTCATCAAAGAATTTGCCATGAAAGTCATTATAGAAAATTCATAGGGAAGCTGCATTACGTCGGTGTGAAAATGACTGATGCCAAGATGTCAGTTTTTATCTGTGTCTGTTAATCTATTTCGAATTTCATAAATCCAGTGGCCCAATCTTTACTTAATCCGACCAAAGTTGAACCCATCTATCTATTGGCATTGTCCTTATGTTGTTTTATTAATCCGTGAAGTTTCATCGTTAAAATGTTTATGTTATTATCAAAGAACAAAGTATTTTTTAAATACTTTTTCCTACATTCTAACACGTTCTAAATTTGGGTCAATACTTGTGGTAATGACCTTTCTAGTGTAGCAGTTTCAGAGGGAAAACCCATTAATTTGGAAATTCTTGCAAAAATCAAATAATTGTCTGATTTTAATAAAACTTTCAGAGCTTATTCAAAAATGAAGAAATTTATTTTTGAAATTTTATTTTTAAAAATCTTTGTATATATATATATATATATATATATATATATATATATATATATATATATATATATATATATATTTCTTTACATCTGTTACCCGCCCATGAATTAATTTTATGAAATTTTCTAGCATTTCAAAGAGTACGCAAATTGTTTTATATTACTTATAAGCGGAAATCTTTGGAGAAATTAAATCATATATTTTTTTCTCAACTACTGCCAAATTTTAAAAAATCTGCTCCAAATCGTAAAATAAAAACTGCAATAAACTATCTAATTATCAAATTAGATAGGCTTTTATTTGCTTTTATAAATAATATATATTAAGGACATTACTATCTGAAGAAAAATTTTTTTCGATGAATAAAGAATTTTTACAAGAATTGTTTGCATTTGTCTTTTAGTTTTTTTCATTTTTCTTAATTTTAAAAAATGTTTTAAAATTCTTTCAAACAGTGTATCGGCTATTAAGTTTTTAAGTGAAGACTATATTTACTAAGCGAAAATTAAAAGCTTAATACAAATAATGCTACCAAAACTTTTTACCATAATTAAAAATATTATTTTTTTTTGTGGGTCAAAATGTTACATTTTTTTTTTAGTAATCATCTCATAAGTGACATTTTGTTTAAAAGGTCAGGTGTTTCAAAGCTTTTCTCCACCTTGGGGAAAGCCCCTTGACATGTAAAGGTCTTATCGCACTCTCAGTTATTAAATTAAGAATTAAATTGAGATAATAAAATTATCTCATTTATCAATTTAAACAATTAATAACTCAGTGAGATATTTTATTTATTAGTATAATAATAATTTTATTAGTTACTATCTCAGTTAAATTAAATATAATATTAATATAATATTAATAAGTAATAAACTTATTTATCATTATCTTAGCTATTAAATAATGAAAGAGATAGAGGTAACTCAATAATGTAAGTAATATTCATAGTATTTTAAATTATTATAAGAAACAAAAAAAACCGTTATGTCACTTTCGATGCACCGTACTAAACCTGTCAACACATTCAGCCGTCAAATTATCGATGGAGACGTGAAAATCACAAGACCCCTAGGTCAAGAAATGTTTTTCTAGAATATTTTATGCTGTAAGTAAGTGGTTTTTGTTTCAGAACAGATTAATTTAACTTTAAATTTGCTAATTTTACTAAAGTAACGTTTCAGAAATGTATATTTTATTTTAGCGGGATTTTCAAAACCGAAAAATAAGTTTGTTTTACATTTCTCTAAAAAAGTTAAAAATGGCCGTTTCGATTGGATTTTCGGAAGCATCAACTACAAATCATTTAAATTTCTATTCGAAATACTCTACAGTATTTTTTTTCTGTAATTAGAAAATTTAATCCTTTAGCTTTCAATTGAAGCGGTTGGAAAGCTTCGAAAAGGGTTTTTCTTTATGGAAAATACATTTAAACCATATGTATACGAATTTTTGAACGTACCTACGTTATCTTGTTCTTTTTTATGCTTTTGTGGGACAGTTATTACTATTCATCCAATCTCACCGGCTATGAAATCAAAAAATCCTTCCAAATAGCTAATTTTGCCTTCGATCTAGATTTATGGCAATCTATGACAAGTGTATGTAAAATCTGTACACATATAAACGATAATTTTTACTAAATAATACAAATATTTAGATGTAATGCGTGCAGATTAATAATATTTGCTCGATATCATTAAGGGAAGGTAAACGTCAATTTTAATATTTTACCGTGTGTTTCATCTCACATGTCAAGCGGGGTAAAAAGCCAGCATTGACAGATCCGCTGTCAAGCCAAAGCGGAAGGATTAAAGAGAAAAGCACATATTCTAAAGAGTAATATCAGGAAGTGATCAACTTGGATTAGTCTCCCATTACCTTCATTTGCTGCTCGAATGAAAGCGCTATTGTGTTGATCTCGAACTAGGAGAACACACGGGTCAGGCTAAATGACAAGGGTTATTGGCGCGATCTCTAAAGGCCTGCTCCGATGTGGCTGACCGACTGTCATGTGCACGGTAGCCCCGCTGATCGCTGAAGAAAAGCGACTTCGTATGTTCAGGTCACTTATTTAGACGCTTCTTTTGTGAGCGCCTCGCCTAT